GGCTGAGGCAATGAGGTTGGCTTTTTCCTCTGTGAGGTTTTTCACCATGGACCCCAGAGAAAACACCACAACACCATCTTCACCTGAACTCTGGACAAATTCTTCCATTTCCTGCAGACATCAATTCTTTCCATTAAAAAAGATTCAGCATTTGGGGAGTGATAAAGTGAAAAGCAGTGTGAAAGAAATTGTTAGACAATTTTGTCGCTTGTGTCTAGATGTCCCCCAAAGCCTCATGCATTCAGAGGTTGGACTTTTAACAGCTGGTTGGATGTAGGGTGTGTGGTGCTGGCGTAAAGTGTGTGATGCTGGCGATAAGGGTGCCTCCCTCTGGCTGTGTATAGAAATACCTAAAGGCAGGTAGCCTGGATGCACTGCAAAGGGATAGAAAAAACCTGGCTGCTGCTGTCACAGTTTGGCTGCTGCTGCTCCCGCTGCTGGTATCTTGCTGTTCCTGCTGCTGCTTTTACTTTCTCCTTGCTGGCTTCTACGTGCCTACCCAGCATTGGATTGTTTCTTCTCCGTGATGCTGTTTTGCAAAGCCACCCTACCTTAGAGCCAACTCCTTAGGGACTGAATCCTCTACAGATTAAATGAACTGAAATTTATGCTAAATGTTTCTTTCCTCCCTTAACTTGTTGGGATTGAGTATTTTGTCTCATCAACAAAATAACCACAACAGGTTCTGCTCTCTGAGATGTAGAACTATCTTGTTTAAGAGCATTTATAGTTTGAGAAGATATCTAAAGTATGCAGTAAGTGATTACAATACAAGTATGGAGTCAAATCACTACAGAAATGAACAGGCATTAAAGGGCAGCTTTGCTCAAGCAGGGAGGATGGAATTGTTATGCACAGGATTTAATTTTCCTAACTGACAATGTTGCTTGGAAATTTTAAAAAGTATTCAACTAATAAAGTATAAGAAAGAACCCAGAATTCAGCTTTACACATTATTGGAAGAGATTAGTAAAGGGTGTGCTCTAACCAACCTATACACAAAAGTCTGTGCAGAATATTAACCCTTCAGTTTTAAAAAAAGACTGGCTGCTGCTGGTGGTGCTGCTTCTGGTGCTGCTGCTGCTGCTGCAGCTGCTAGTAGGTCGCTGTTTCTGCTGCTGCTTTTGCCTGCTTCTTGCTCTCTTTTGCTGCCTGTAACATTCCTTCGACTTTTTCTCCTCTATGATGCTGTTTTTCAAAGCCACCCTATCTTGGAGCCAACCCATTATGGACTCAAACCTCTAAGAACTAAGTGAACTAAAATTTAAGCTAAATAATACTTTCCTCCCTTACCTATTCAGTATTGGGTTTTTTGTCTCATGAACAACAAAATAATTATGATAGCCAGGTTCTGCTCTCTGAGATGTGGAGCCATCTGGTTTAAGAGAGAACATATTCAAGTAAGGAATAAGTAATTACAAGTATAGAAATGAACAAGCATTAAAAAGCAGCTTTGCTTGAGGTGGGGAGTGGAACCGTTATGTGCAGAATTTAATTTTTCTAACTGACAAAGTTGTTTTCAAATTTATAAAAGTGTTCATGGAAGAAAATACAAGAAATATTCTAGATGAAGCTTTACACATTTACTGAAGAGATGGAAAATGGTGGGTTCTAGGCAATCTACACTCAAAAGTCACTCCAGAATATTAAACTTCCAGTTTTAAACAGGTATAAATTTAAAAACTGGCCACTGACATTGTAGATTTATGCTTTCTTTCAAGACACAAGAGAATTCTCATTTTAGACACTCAGCACCCTTCAAGTTTTCACCTCTTATTGTCACCATCAATAACCTCTTCCCTTACAGAAAGTAAGAGTTGTGACGAGGTAGAATGTTGTAGAACTGCAACACTGGACAACTGGAAACTTTGAGGTCTTGGTAGTTATAAATACATATAAATGAACTGAACTGAGATATCCTGGTACAGAATGAGCCACAGCTCACAATATTAGGGTCATTTTAGTTTTATTCAATGGTAACAGGAAAAGCTGAACATATTCTAGTGAGTACTGACTCTGCTGCTGTGAAGTGTGATAATCTAAGCATAGCGCACAAAGGAGTGCATTCTGCTGATCACTGATGACAGTGATTATCCGGTGTTTTCTTGCAAATTAAAAAGTCACATTTGGACCTCTTCCCCTGGTTCCCACCTTCTATAGAATACACAGGAAATGATCATTTCAGAAAGTGTATGTAAATATAGCTTGTATAACTTCTGCTTAAGCTTAGAAAATTCCTACATTTCTATAATTTTGAGCTGCTACTCTTGTTGCACTACACAGTATATGTCCTAATATTTAGAACCCAGAGAAAATAGGATTGTGACATGGAAATAATTATCCTCACTGCATTGAGAGAATGATCCCAGTTCCTAAATCCTGGGAGTCCAAACTGAGGGCTAAATGAATCTTGGTGGTGTGATGGGACAGTGAAAAACACTTGAAGTTTAAACACAGTGGAAGAAGTGTAGTCAGGTGGGGTTTTGTGCTGCAAGATGATCTGAGTCTGGATGTGCCCCTGAGCCTGGGTACCTGCTGCCTCTATGGAAACAGAGTTCCTTCAGGATGCAAAGGAAAGTTCAGTAAAGAGGAAGAGGTTTGAAAAAGAATCCAGAAGAAATCCCAAAAATAAAAACTTCATAAGTCAAACACATAGTCAACAGCAAGTCTTACCTATAAGGAAGATGATTCACAGGAGAGTTTGTCACGACTTGAAGGCAAGCTGGATGTGCTAAAGGATTCATTTAGTAAGGATGAGTGAAAATAGAATAAGACATCATGTAAAGGTTACCTCAGAGAACCTAGATAGCCTTAAAGAACAAATGTAGAGATAATAGGCCTTGACAATTGTGCTAAGATATGGGCTGATGACATACAAAAATCTGCTCACTGAAATAACTGTAGAAAGTGGCCCCACAGTGGGGATGAGTCAGATGCCCAGGTAAAGGAAGCTTATAGAACTCTAATGAGATATGACAAGAAAGGAACCGCTGCATAGCACATCATAGTCGCGATGCTAGAGGTGCAGAGCAAAGGGAAATCCTGGAAGCTGATAAAATTGCCCACTCGCTTATAAGGACAAACCCATCAGAATAACAGCAGATTTCTCAACTGAAAATTCAAACCCAGCAAACCAGCATCTCAGAGAATCCAAAGGAGAGATGAAAAGAACAACTATAGGACCCAGTGAAAGAGTAAATCTCACTCAGACAGTACTTAAATGATCAAGAAACACAAATAACCCAAGCCCTACAAAGAAATGCAAGAATTAGATTATATGATTAATAACTGCACATAAAGTATATGGTCATAATTCTCAAATCAAAGACACAAAATGGCCGATTGGGTCAAAAACAAGATCTACATGTGGCTTTCAAGACACAACCCTCACATGCAGAGATAAATGGGCTAAAATAAAAGAACAAACACGGATCTTCTAAGGATCTGGAGCCTTAAAGTGGGGAAGGGTAGCTCCATTTATAACTATCACAGTTCATTTCAAAATAAAACTGGTCAGAAAAGTCAAATGAGTTCAGCAGTTATAGGTAAGGAAAGAATTCACCAAGGAAAGGTAACAATTGTAAATATTTAAGCAGCAAGTTCATTCAAAACCCATTTTTAAATCATATATTACGG